AAAAAAAAACAAACAGAACAAAAGATGCTTTTTTACAAACAGGCTTCCCACCCCTGCAGACACAATGGTATGTGCAATAACATCCCACTTTGCCAAGAGATTCCAGCAGAAGACACAGTAATTTCAAAAGAAACAGTGTAAGTTTATTGGACGCCAACAGTTCTTAGTCAAGATCTAAGTAAAGAAAACACACGGTAGAAAAAGTTGTACAAAGCAGCAATGGATTTACATTACATTAAAGAAAAAGTTACCTTAAGCTATTAAGTCTCAGTCCTAAAAAAAGTAAAAACCCATCCTGGTGTATTGAACAGATATAGAATGTATAAGGTACAAGGTACACAGGATTATAAACCCAGCATCCTTTGTCTGACCTCTATAATCCTTTAAAATGACAAGTGATTTTGTGTAACTAACTGGAAAAATTCTCTAGCAAATGTATTGGATAACCCCAATTTTTAGAAACTGTAGGAATCTGTTCCCCTGTACCCAAGCACTAAAAGCGATCCCATTTTCCTGCTTTTTAAAAAGGGACACTGTCAAGAATAAGCCTTAAAATATGTACTTGAAGTGTATTTCGCATGTTACATTGCAAAGGGGAGCTTGTCCTGGTTTTATGCACATATTTGAATTAAAGATGCTGCTGCAGTAGTGGGAAGCTTGTGTCTTTGAAAGATAATGTGTATTGCTGAGAAGCTGGAAAAAGGAAAAATTGGATTGAGTCCTTTATTCTGGCACAGCGAGAGAAAAAGCAACATGAAAAATCAGCTCAACCCACAGAATTCAGATACATTTTCCAGACATCTCTGCAACAACTGAGGATGCCTGGAGTGGGCATTTTCACGCCCAAAAGCAGCTCAAGTGTTATGACTCAATTCTTCAATTTTATTAATGTCAAGTATTTCTAATACAGGTAAGTCCATTTTCTTGTACCCAAACTTTCTCTTGATAGTGTCCCTTTCTGTAGAGCAGTTACAGTACGGTTTTTCACAAGTCATTTTAAATAAACAAGAATCAATGCCATTAAAAATACTATCAGGCTGTGCTCAGCAACAACAGAAAAAGATTTTTAACACTGATTCATTAACACCAACACTAAAAAATAAAACCAAAAACCAAAACAAAAACAAAACCAAAAAAAACCCCAAAAATAAATCCCCAGCAAACCCCAAACCCCTAAGCTCGTTTTGATTTTTAATTAAATGTTCTGGTAAGAAAATGTAAACAATTTCATTGAACAGTATAGGCACATGCCAGATTACAGGCTCATGCCAGATATTTGCACCCTCACTGCGAAGAGCCAAGAAATTAGGCATAGTCTGTCCTTATCCCATGGGAGGAACTAGTTTTAACACTTGGAGCTTGGAACAGAAACAAGAGTCCGTGTAGAGCTTCAGAGCAAACCCGGGTGTCCTGCTTGGGGGGAAAACAAACAATATCAGGCAAAAAAACCTCCTGGATGTTCCTGCCTAAACAGGAAATGCAGGAAAAGCCTCTTACAGCTGTTTGGGGTCAGAGATAAGGAAATATCTCAGTTCTGAAACACCCCAGACAAACTCTGCAGTCGCCCACTTCACCAACTGCCTCCTTAATTACCTGTCACAGGGTGTTTCTCTCCCCCTTACCAAAAAAAACCCCCCAAACTAAACACAGTATCATTCCTGGTTCACATCCTTTGTTTTTGTAAAGCTACATCCAATTCTATATGCAGGTTTTATGGAGAGGAAAATTAATTTTAACTTTTGGTTCCAGGACTTTAAAAAACAAAATCTGTACGTCTTTTGCTGCCATTGCTCATTTTCAAGGCTGATCATGGTCCCAATTCAGCAAAGAACTTAAGGACTTTAAAAAAAATAAATTAAGACTGATCTTAATGGATTTAAGCATAGGCTCAGAGGCTTTGCCAACACGGTGCCTGAAAGGAAAAAAAAGTCCCAAACCAAAATACATTTCATGGCTCAACCCTGCTCCTCTTAAAATGCAACACAAGTTTCCCCTCTACTTCCACTGAAGCAGGATAGTTCACTGAGATTTATCTGACAGATTATAAAAATAGCAAAAAAAAGAGGAGAATTATAGATTCTAATCTATATATTAAAACATCTGCACATTCCTGTCACAAGTTTTAAGAAAAAAAGCAAAACACTTTTTATATTTAACAAGACCTCTAACTTTGTGTCACTTTAGTACACAGCTATAAAATTAAACAAAATATGCTGAAGACAGGCTTTTGTATCAATAAATTTGCCTTTTATTTTGGCTGTGGCCAAACTAGACACTCTTCAAAAGATCTTTATTTATAAACAAGCAACTAACATTTTTTTTTCTCCATAATTTAACTTTTAAAACATATATTAAAGTTATATAAGTGGAAGCATATTTATTCCGTATCCTCCAAAATAAACACTTCTATCAAGGGCTTTTTAAGATACTGTATAAAAGCTAATAGAAAACCAGAACTGCTATATAAACATCTCATATTTAAATTTTAGAGATCCTGAATTCCTTTACTAAACAACAGGAACCAAATTAAAAAAAAAAAAACAAAAAACAAACACACAGAACACGCTCAAAGTTGAAAACAAAATTAAAAAAACCCCCAACCAACCAAACAAAAAACCCCCCAAACACTGAAGAAAAATTTAGGAGGCTATTTAGGCCAAAAATATTTGATGGATTTTTTAGCACACTAGGAAAAAGGTCAAGGTTTCTGCAGAAAGGTCGCACAAGATTTTGATTTGAAGTGTGTAAAATTTCTCATCCTATCACAGAGCAGAATCCCAGTTGGAAGTGAGATGGCTCTGACCCAGCTGAGCTCGCTGCCACCTTCCTTTAGAAAGAACTTTACATCTATGCTTTGAGACTGTTGTGTAGGGGAATAATTGGGGAAAACTCAGGAACCGTTTTACAAAAACACGTTCGTATTTTATATGCACCGATTTCTTAAATACATTTGAAGGATACTTCGTGGGGCTTGATGTTTTTCTGATTTTTTTTTTTAAGCCAGGTTAAGTGCAATAACCATTTTAGTTTGAAATTGTTTCTGGTAAGAAAGAAATTTAGTCTTATTGGGTGGAATAAAAAAAGTCAGTAATGGAAATGTCACTATTAAGCAAGTACCTTCTTTAACTGCAATGCCACTGAAAGAGTTTAACTGATATTCAAGCAAATTAGCCTAATCTTATTCAGCTACAATTTGCCTGGAAGAGGGCAAAAAAAGAACAATATGTTACTAATAGAAGTGTTCAGTAACAATTTTAGATTTTGGTCAAAAATGAAGCAGAAGAGGCTTGAAACTAACATTGCAAATTTTTTGGTAGCTGGAAAAAAAAAAGTCAGGGGTCCGTCCTGAGCTAATATTTTTAAACTTAAATGTTGGAAAAAAATGGTGGCACACTTGGGCTTTCACTGAGAAAAATCTACTCTGGTGTGTGCCTGATTAAGGATGCCCATCCTCAGATTCTTAGGAATTACATTTGTGCTTAATTTTGATAAATCTTAAGTGTCAGCTTGCAATTCTTCCAACTTTTGAGTTTGGGATACTGAAAGAACAGTCACATACATGGTTACACATAGAACTAAAGCCTCACTCCGGCTCCCCCTGAAACTGGTGACCAAACTCTGTGCTGGTTTCAGCAGACACAGACTGGGCTCTGACTCAGCAGTGTGGAATGACATCCCCCCTCTCCCAGCCCTGCAGGGGGAAGGTTGGTCAGGATCAGAAACACTGTTTGCGTCATTTACCTTCACTCTAATCCATCACCACTCCACCGAGTTTAAATTCCAGCAGAAGAATTTCTCACTGCTAGTTCACCTCACGCTTCTGGGAAAGTATTTCCTTTACTTACAGAAAAATTTGGACCCTTACTACAGCTCCTGGTAAATATGTATGATCCTACTTACACTAAATGCTCCAGTTGTGATTTGAGGTAAAATAATGGAACCGCATGGAAGTGGTTCCATTATTACCACAATTTTCGACAAATTGGAAAATTGCAACACAGTATCACATATGATAGAAAAGCTGCAGAAAGAACTACTCTATGCATTGTATTCATAAAATGCTGTGATTGTAGTGTGATTTTCTCCTCTGCTTTGAGCTGGATATGCAACGCTTAATACAAATTTCAAATACATACTTCTTCATTTATACAGGTGTCTATATAAATATTTACATTTTTAGGTTCTGTTAAAACATATCTTTGTACTCATGGCCAAGCTTATGACTGTGTTTAGAAACACAGCTCATCTTCTGTCCCTTGATGAGCTCTCTCCTGTTGATTTAATAGTTATACATTCCTTTGTAGTCAGAATTACAAACAGTTGTACAAATAGTGGAAACAAAGCTATGAAACTTGTCTGACGTCCATTCAACCCCAGTTCATGTTACAAACAGTACCATTTGCATTATGATGGCTCTTATACAATGACTTCAGCTACCCAAGTATCCATAGGAAATTAGTCTTTGGGACATTATATAAAGCAAAGTACCCCCACTCTTGATTTTCCTTAGAAACTTAAAATTAAATGGCTGAGAGCAGACTTGCTGCTACTTCTTATATAAAATCTTAGTAATAATATTGCTGACTTCAGATTCTATTTTAATTTGCACAAGTTCCATACAACAATAAAACAATTCCGTGTTCCCTTAAAATAGCAAACATTCGTATCCAATAACATCAGGATTACTCAAAGTTGAGGTTTATTTGTTATTGCTAAAGGTTTCTAAGACCTAAGTCAATACAGCAAGACACTCCATCCACCTCCTCCCTAACTGCCAGTGTATGGCAATCATTTCTATGGAGCTCGTGTGTTGGCTTCCTTTTTGAAAACAAATTAACGAAGTTGGTTACAGTATTTCACCACTATAAGCTCACAGTTAGAATCCAAATTGTTGTTGCTCTTTCATTTAATATATAACTTTATATATAATACACACGCACACACCAACATCACAGGATGAAGATCCATGCATACAGTCCAGATGCAATCGCATTTCAGTGTTAAATGAAATAAAATTTATACTGTTACTATCAGATCCCAGACCACAGGACTTTAAATTACTCTGCTTTCTACCTAATAACCAAGTTAGCTTCCCCTAATCTTCAAACCCAAGCAGCATCACAGATTCCACATTTTTCATCATTGTTTTGATCCTCTTAAAATTTCTAGTCTGTGTGGCAGACGTGTGAGACCCTGAACACAGCTTTGTAAGGTTTCTGTTAAAGCTTAATTGTGTGTCTGTTCGTGGCTCCAGAGACTAAAAGCCGTCTTGAAAGTCCTGTGACAGAGTTTGCACATGTACTGTCTTTTAAAAGTGATTGCTGAGAGCGGCGGGGCGTGGTAGAACAGCGTGTCTGACTCCTGGGGCACGAACAACTTCTCAGTAGTACTGGAGCTCTCCGGCAAGCCCGTGGGGCTGTCCGGCTCCAAAGGCTGGATTTTGGGGAGCGGCGGGGGCGGGGGTAAGGGCGGCGGGGATGGGGAGTTAGCTGGTGGGCATATCTCAGGCTCCTTGTTCGTGGCCTCCTCTGCAGCCTGCGACATGTGAGACTGGAAGTGGCTCCACAGCCGGAAATTCGTTCGGAAGGCCTTGTTACACACGTGGCAAATAAAGGGCTTCACGGAGCACAGGAGCTCCTGGTGACGCTCCAGCTGCTTGCGCAAGGTGAAAATCTTCCCACACTTCTCACAGGGCCACAAGTTGGCATCCTTCTTGGAGACCACTTCCTTAGGTTCCCTGCTCGTTTCGGTGACCTCGTCCTCGATGTCATCCGCAGGCTCTTCTTTGATCTGGATTTTAAACTGTTTGGAGACACTTAAGTCCTCAGGTAGGCATGAGGAGTCTTCAGAATCAAAGTTGATTTGTTCTGACGAGTCACTGAACACACCATCCTCCTTCGCAGCAACAAAGTTGTTCATTTTATTGGACTCTGACTGCGGGGGCAACCTGGACGAACTGGTTATTTCCCCGTTGTGATCCATGAGAGGTAAGGAAAAGTTCTCTGATGGAGCCATCGTGTTTTGGTTGTGAACCTCAACCTGATGGCGCCAGATGCTGAAGGATGATTTGAAGGTACGCATACACTCGAGGCAAGTGAGCTTCTTGTACTCACACTTGCTTTCGTGCTCGTGCTTCAGCTCTGGAGAAGAAAACCTAAGGCTGCAGTAAGGACAGACAGTGGCGTTCCTACAGAGTCGCTCGTGATTTCCCTGTTCAATGAGTGAGGAGAGTTTGGCATTGCAGAGCCGGCACTGATAAACCTCCTTGTTCTCCACTGGGCTTTCAATGTGAATGTGATCCTTCTGCTTAGGAGCCTTGTTCCCTCCGATGGGTTTCTCCCCTGGGTGCATTTTTATGTGCTGTTTGAACTGCGAGAGGAAGCGATAAGCTTTCCCACAGTAGGTACAAATATAGGCTCCTTTGGTTCTCGACCTTAAATTCCTCTTGATGACCTGCTGCGCTTGTGAAGCGGACTGGCCCTGAAAGCTCTGCTTGCCACGTCTCAGTTTCACGATCAGAGCTTTTTTGATTTCCCTCTCCCTCACTATATCGATCAGTTTTCTTTGGAATTTTTCATCCAAGAGGGCGTGAGAACTGGAGGCCGGTGAGGGGTTCTTCACGATTCCATGCTGGGTCTGGCAGTGCGTCCACACTTTGAAGTTGGTGTGAAATCTCTTGTGGCATATGTCACAAGCGTAGGGCTTCTCTGGATTATGATACATGTTAACGTGACGATGAAGACCTGCTGTCGATCTGAAGATTTTAAGGCAGTGTTTGCATTTAAATTTTTTATTTGGTCTTGCTTCTTCCATCTCGCTGTACTCATCTTTACTGACATCAGAATCAGGAAAATCAGCATCAAGGTGCGGAGGGCTTGCGCCTTCCTCAAAGTTCTCTTCTGAGCCAGGAGAACCCTGATCATCCGCCTTCAGCTTCTTGAATGGCAGCATTCTATCGTCCTGAAACCTCCTTTTTGCTGGAATTCTGCTCGGTTCCTTGTGATCATCCTCGGTTTTAAAAGCAAAGTCTTTATTTGTCGAGGCTGAACCATCACCCACCGTAATTCTTATAATTTCAGCGGGATCTGAGAGTGGACTGCTCGGTTCGGTTTTTATCCGCACCTCCGAGAGAGGGGAAGCCACCTCCCTGTCAGTGGACTGAGAGGCACTGAAAGACCTAAGGCGATGTGGGTGTATTACCTGTGGTTTCTCATCCAGGACTAACTTCTCCGATGACTCTCTCAAGGATGACTTCTGGGACACGACGTTAAATGTTTTCTGGGAATCGTTAGTTCCCGGTGAGGAGGAGGACGACACCTGTGCAGGTTTTAGGTCAACGGAAGGTGAGTAAATAGGAACCTGGCTGTCCATGGACAGTGACCTCCGCAGAAGACTTTTTACAAGGGGCCCACTTCTGTCAATACTTTGGTTTTCTGGGCCAGACCCACTAGACGGGATCACCAGCCCTAACTTTGAGTAGTACAGCAAATTCCTGTCTTCGCCTTGACCGTTTCCTTTTCCTGCCTCTCGCAACAAAAACGTGGATTCTGATGCCCCACGCAGAGACAAGACTGGTGGTCGTGGTCTCTTCAGTGACATCTCCACAGCCTTTCCTCTCAAAAGCTGACCACTGCTTCCTGGCTCATCGTCTGCAATTTCCTTCTCTGCTAAAGGCATCTGAGGCAGCACCGTGTTCCTTTTCACCAAACCACTCCTGCCCTGATCCTCCACAGTTCCAGAAGTTTCATGAACCTTCGTATAGCCCAAAGGACTTTCTTTCAGCCACCTCCTTTCAGTCAGTGATAAGTTGTGAAGGGTTTCAGTTGGTTTTGTTATTTGTGGTCTGCTGCTAGTTTTGACCGCCACAGAGGGCGGAGGTTTAGGAGTATGGCTTAAATCATGCTGTGTTTGATTTATGCTTTTCGCTTGTGCTTCAATTCTGTTCTGACAGACGATGACACTTCTCTTCTGGGAACTACTTTCATCTTCATCTTGATACAGTATTTTCTTGATAGGGCAAGCAGGAAAAGGAGCTTGAGGACTCTTGGAAACGATGTTTGTGAGAAAGGATATCCCAAGACTGTAGCCCAGCTCTTGCACAGCTGCGAGACTGCCTTTCTCAATGAACAAGGATGAAGAATAAATGTAGTTCAACACGTTATCAAAAGCATCCGGCTCACAAAAGTCGAGTTGAAACACCGACTGAGACTCGTTCTCCTTGTTTGTGAACAGAGTCTGGAAGTATTCACTGCTGGCAGCCAGAACGTTCTTATGGGCTCGAAATTTCTGGTCTCCCACTATGAGCACAACGTCACACAGCTGTCCCTTGAGACGCTCCTCGTTCAGGGTGCTCAGAAGGGAAATTGCATGTGCTGGGTTTATGTAGTGCAAGAGCCCCTCCATGATTCTGATGCCTCTGAAAAAGAACAACAACAAAAGTTGTAGGTTGCCTTGTGTGAACGGTAAGAGGTAAAGCAAACACACCTAATCCCCCCTGTACGACAGTAAACTGGCCAAACCACCAACAAATAGTGATTAAGGAAACGGCTTTGTTTGGAGGAAAGGTATGGGAATGAAAACAACACTGTCAGTTCCAACAGATGCACAGGCATGGGAAGAACCAGCTCATCTGACCACTTTCCACTACCCTGTTAATGGCTGATCTTAAATCAGAAATATGACACCACAAATATAGATGGGTGGGCTGTGTTCTTTTCCTGCAATACACAGGGAGGAACAGTTCCATCATTTCACTTCCTATCTCTGCTTTAGTTTTATGAAGATCTGCTTGACAGCTGCATTGATAAACTTTCGGATCAGATGTCTGAACTTAGTTATACCAACTCACCTTTCTGAGCTTAAGCAACCCTGACAGTCTCCTGCTGACCAAACAAATTAAGGGGGTTTTGCTGTCACTTTTAATAGGATGATGGAAAGGGCATTAATACTGGGAAGGGAGAAGGAAGTAGGATTATTGTCTGTAATCTAAATTTATCACGTTTGTTTATGCTTAGTAAGTGCTGTTAATTATATACTTCCAGCAATCAAATATGTGTCACTTAAAACTGTACTGGTAGGATCTGGGAAATGTCACAGTTTTCACTGAGGTATCCCTGCATTGCTTTGCTCTATCTCTGCATTGCTTTGCTGTAGCTGAAAAGCAACCAGAGAACTGAAGTCTCCATTTTATTCATTAGCAGGAGAGCACTTTATGCCCACATTCCATATATTGAGGAACAGTTAGCCTGGGATGCATCTAGGAGTACAGTGAGCACAAATTAAGCTGCAGTGAAGAAATCTCCATGTTCCATGTGCTTCAAAACACAACCTACTCCATACTGCAGCATGTCTCAATAACTCAATATACTGCTCCTGATTGGAGCTTAACAAAACAAGAGAATCAGGTTTTAAGTTAGTATAAATCAAGAACTTCTGGGGCAGGAATTGGAATTTATACATCTGTGCACAGTGACACACACAGACAAATCGGCAATATCCAATTTTCCTTTTTTTTTTGTTTGTTTGTTTGTTGTTTTTTTGTTTTGTTTGTTTGTTTGTTTTGTTTTTTGTGGACACTCTTTACACTGCCTTCCTCCATGGTGGTATAAAACATGTCAATGATGTGTCTGTTAAAAGCAATTCTCTTCTTTCTACAGCTGATTTGAGAAATTACTCTTTAGTTTATGATTTATACATATAAATACATAGACAATGAAAGGGTTTCAGTGTCCATCAGCTTACAAGCAACACTGTAAAGTTTATAAAAATAAAAAAACAGTACTAAGAGGCTGTAACCCCGTGATTAATAAATGAGGGTGGTAAAACTTACAACAAATGGATACAAGTAAGTGATCAAAGCCTAAATTGGTATTATTGAGAAATGACAGAAAGGGTGCTGCATCTCTGGGCATTGAGCTGCCACTTCTGCATCTGAAACTCCCAAATGACTTCACAGTGCCATGGCAATAGGAAAAGCAGAATGCTGTTTCCTCACCAAATCAGTCTTTATCTAGTGTTTCAGTGCCTTGCAGTGTCATTTCACAAACACTAATTTATCCTTAATTCACCTCAGATAGTAATAGTTATAATGCATAATCCCCCCACACCTCCATCTAAAAAAAGCAGTGCAGTCACTCTTCATTTGAGAAACCAATCTGGCTTGGTTTGCTTTCTGTGTTTTGCTTAAAAATACTGGGGGGGATGAGGATGGATGGTGGTTCAGTACCCCTCTCCTTTGTGGGTTACACTGCAATTTAAAGTGGTGGGGTCTGAACAGCCCTAATCCAGTTTCACGGTCTGAGCACCCATTAACACCTGGAGTGTTATAGGAACAAGTGTTCCAGGAAGGCATCTTTTCCTTTAGCTTCATCTGGAAGAAGGTGAATTTGCAAACCCAAGTGATTCATCTGGGATGCAACTTGCAGAGGGTTTATGGAGGACACAGATCAACAGTGTGCTCAGGGAGCTTGAACTAGAACAGTGGTGTAGAGACACCCAACACAAGTTCCTGCATAACCCCCACCTTTGAGGACAGAGTGAAAATACAGTGTATTAGTCACATATTTTGAAATGTTTTCAAATATTTCACTTTAATCTGCTTTGCCCAGGCCCTGTGTTTAGTGTAAGACTGGCAGAATAAACACCATGTAATTACTATGTGTCCCTTTGTCCATCCTAGCACAGTAACTCAGTGTAACCAGCAGAGACTGGTGGAAAATCTACACATCTAAAGCAGAGCCCAACTGTCACCCATCCTTCCTTCCCCATCCTCCTTTTTTAGTCCTAGAACACCTTCAATTCACTACATATAACATGACAAGAGACAATCATCCCTCCCTTTCATGCTCATGGCACAGTATCTTGCGTGCAGTGAAGGAGGGTTTGGTGCAACGTAACTGTGTCACTTTAACAGTAACCAAGGCTGCAAGGTACACAAATGGCAGGGGAACAAATTAATCCTGAAAAAGCAGCTTTAATCCTGGTATTTCCTAATCCAAGTGCTTGACTTTCAGCTTAGTAGCCTTTAGACACAACAGGCAGAAATAAAAGAAACTATGATACCAAGAAGCAAAACCAGATCTGTTTTGCAGAACCATTTTAAGACATTTACACAGACCATCTAAAAGCCTGAAATGCTTAGATGTGGAAAAAAAAATCCAAAGATTACCTGAGTAAATGTACAATGTGTTAAAATTTCACTACATGAACACTTTTCAGTAACAAAGTTGGTCCAAGTTACTCCTGCTCTCTCTTGTTCATCTTACCTGCACACTGCAGGTCACTCCTCCTCCAGCTGTGCCAGTATAAATACCTGCAGGCCTGTGTGACACAGCAGATCAGACAATAAATAAAACTCCAGAATTATTAATTTTCAAATGCTGGTCAATTTTGATATTAAACCACAACGACTGCATTGGCATAACTGAAGAGGCAGCAATTGGAGCAGCCACAGGAAGACAAGAACTTCTCCCAACAGTGTCCCCAAAGCCAGTGTTTGTCTGTTTAGCCCCACACAAAAGCTGTGTCTGGCACAGTGTGTAGATCCAGACCTCTGGAGTCTCCTGTAACACTAGATCTGGTTCCAGGTGTTTGAGGACTCTTACTTCTCAGCTAAAGATTACTTTGCCATTAGCTACCTAAGCTCTTTCCTCCAAATAATCTGCTTCTATTCTCTCCAACCATGTTTTCCAGCCACCTTCACTACTGACTGGAAACAAAGCTCTTTTTATTTTCTTCCATGACGTTTGGGTGACATCAAGGAAACAGCAGGGGCGTATCAGGAAATCTCCCATTATCTGTGTGCCACATGGCACAGCAGCTGCTGGTCCTCAGGAGGAACAGTGACAGTAAAACTACAGGAAGAGCAAGAGCAGCAGGAGCACCTGCAGCCTTCCTTCAGGAGGCCAAGAAGAGATTTTGGTGTTAAGTCTTCACAGAATCACAGAATGGGTCAGGATGGAAGGGACCACAGTGGGTCATCTGGTCCAACCTCCCTGCTCCAGCAGGGTCATCCCAGAGCACATGGCATAGGATTGTGTCCAGATGGGTCTGGAATATCTCCCACCCTCTCTGGACAATCTGTTCAGTGCTCGGTCACTGCCCAGCAAAGAAGTTCTTCCTCATGTCCAGCTGCAACTTCCTGAGCATCAGTTCCTGCCCGTTCCTCTTGTGCCATTGCTGGGCCCCCCTGAGCAGAGCCTGGTCCATCCTCTGCCCCCTCCCTGCAGACCCTACAGACCTGGGGGAGGTCCCCTCTCAGTGTCTGCTCTGGAGGCTGAACAGACCCAGCTCCCTCAGCCTTTCCTGGTCAGAGAGGCTCCAGTCCCCTAATTCCCTCCATCAACAGCCCTCTACTGATCTCAGCAAACTAAATTTCAGAAACCTAAGTACCATATTTGGTACAAGATTGCTTTTATTTTATATTTTGAACAAGGATAGAAAAAGACATCTCTACTATTTCAAAATTACTTCCAGGAAAACAAAATAAAAAAGGAAATCTCTACTCAGGAAAGCTCTACTCAAGGAAAGAGCAGAAAGGTTCAATCTTTGGCCCAACAGTTTCTTGGTCTTCAACATCCACCTGTCTTTGAGGTGGTAGTTCCCCTTCCTTTCCTCTGTCCCTTACTGTCACACCTCCTCCTCCCAGCTCTGTGGTACCCTTCTCTTCCTTTCACCAGCTCAGCTGCTCATCTCACCTCCCAGTGAGTTGATTCAGCTCCCTAAAACTGAAGCAGGAAACAAAGCAACAAACAAAATCAATCCAGCTTTTTATACCTGTTGGCTATTTTCTAGGACAGGAGCTTGATATCTCACTGAGAGGTCAGATGAGCATCAGGATTGCAGTAAGAGAAGCCACGAAACTGCTCATTCTTTGTCAGGAATTTGTTCCACCAGCTTCACCCACCCGAAATTTCACCTTTAGAAACAACGAAGCCACCAACACTGAAAATTTGCGGGCAAGATATTTGCGTGACTGATCTCAGTGCAACAGCTACACATGAGCAACAAATACACATGAACAACTAAGAGAAGATGTTGATGTTGCCTCCTGACATCCATTACAAGGACACAGTTGTCAGCTAAAGCTCCATTAACAGCGTGTTGGGGGTGGAACTGGGAAAGACGATGTTCTGAAGCCCTCAATGAGATGCGATTTTGCAGCAAGGAGGCGCCAGGGCTGTGAGAAACTGTGGCTGGAAGCAGGGAATACAAGGACGGAGGAGGAAACACACGCAGAGGAGACAGGAACCAAAGGAGACTGAACAGGGGTTTCTTCAGGGAAAACACACAGGAAGCGTGGCGGGGGCAAACCCACTAAGAAAGCAAAGAAACATGGATTATAAGACTCAGTGAGTTCCCGGGGCATCCCCAGGTAAATGCGGGAATGTTGCACTCCCTTGTGAGTGCTTTGCAGAGGATCTGATGGCTCTGGTAATTCAGGTGCTGTTTCAGACACAAGGAAGGAAAAACATGATTACTCATCACAAGTCCAGATGCAAAACAAACACACAGCGCTTAAGCTTCTACTCAAGGTTTCTATGCAGGGTTTTTTTACTGGAGCTTGACAACAGTTTATAAAACGTCTCTTCTCCCATCAACAGCCTTTGCAACACACTCTCCCATAGTACATATATATTTACACACTCCCCTACATGCCCCCAAAAGCTGTATGTAAAAGCTCCAAACCTCCACAGAAAGATTGTTTGCACTTCTATAATCTTTTTCTAACTATACATTTAAGTAAGCTCTTCCTGCAAGTTTGAGGATTTCTCTCTCCCTGGGTTTACTGAAATGTGATTTCACTGCTATTGCTGTTTCCTGCTGCTGACAATACTGTGAACTCTCTCCGAGAAGACAAGTGCCTTTTCATGCACAATAAATTAGCAGCAAGGAGAAACTCACTACAGTGAAGAGAGGCATAAAATGAGATAAAGAACATGTTTGCTAGTGTGTGAAATCGGTGGACTAATTTCCAACTATTTATCCTCCACACATACAGAAGCAGAAATATAGGGAGAGGAAAAGAATTCTATAATCAGAGAATCACAGAATGTTTTGGGTTGGAAGGGACCTAAAGATCATCCAGTCCCACTCCTGCCATGGGCAGGGACACCTTCCACTAAACCACATTGCTCCAAGCCCTGTCCAACTTCCAGGGATGGGGCATCCACAACTTCTCTGGGCAACCTGTGCCAGGGTCTCACTAACCTCACAGTAAAGAATATTTTTCTAATATCTAATTTAAAACTACTCTCAGTTTGAATATTGTGCAGTCTCTCTATCTTGCCCTGCACAATGGACAAATAACGAGCAGTTACTCTGACACGGCCTAAAAATTCTCTTAGAAATTAGAGGCTACTTTTCATATTCAGATCACACCCTTGGTTTCCCCATCTGACACTTAAAACAGCTCCTCCTGACTTACAGCAAAGTGCAACATGTCAGAGTAACATCACAAAGCTCCTCTTGTCCTTCTCATTCTTGTTTACAAACCCACAGGACTAAGGGGGCACTTTCATCTCACTCTCAGTCCAGTCTAACCAGGGATTGCTCCTGCAAGGAGCAGTTGGTGTCTCCTCCACCCCTAAGGAAGGACTGGCTCGTGTCAGAGCAGTAAACCACGGGATTGCACAGCCAAGGGATGCAAGCGAGAGGGCAGGAATACGCGCTGGCTGTGAGCTCTCCTGGTTCCTCCCGAAACACTTAATGAAGATCAAGTCACAATCTGACAAAATACTTGTCCTGGCCTCAATGTCTCAACCGAAAGGCGTGTAACTCACCCTCCAAACTGCTGTGAACTAAATCAAACTATCAGAAAGTTTAAAAGTTTAAAAATACTTTTCACTAAGGAGTTCTTCCACTTCCATTCCCTTGAGTTTTGTGATGTTAACCTTTCTGGCGGGACAAGACCAAAAGGCTTGATGGCCATATAATTCAAAAACCTACAGAAACGTCATCCCCAGAAATATTTCATGATTTTTTGGTAAGAGATGTATGAAATCAAGAATTTGAAGAAGGGGAGATGTACACCAAACGTGTACACTTGTACTCTTTCTACAGGTAGACTTTATTATTTTGCTGGTAATGCTGAGATATCAAATGGAATAATATTCATAACAGTCATTCCTTTACTGTTCCTTTACACTTTTTCTTTGTTTAACTGGCCTAATTCAGAATAAATCTTGTCTACAGACTCTTTTAATTTTTTTTAATTTTTTAATTATTTTGTATACTCAAAATGACAACCCCCTAATTGTGGGCATATTTCTATAAATATAACGTGGCTTTTTACAGGCATATTTTAGATAGGAAGAGAAGCCAATTATACCCACATAAGGTACTTTTCTATCAACAGAATTGTGTTTACACAAAGGTTTCTTTTAAAAATACAAGATTTGAAGGGGGAGAGGTCATACACTTAATCTGAAAAATGCACAACTAATACAAAAACTGAGCCTAAAAATTGCCAAGTGAGAAAGTTATGGTTCAGGGAATCCAGGTATCTTCCTCCCACTGAAGGGATCCAAAGAAAATGTCATTCTGCCATCACCAATTATGGGCAAGATACTGGGAAGACAGTGCAGGAAACTGGAAAAGGGGAAAGACAGCAGCAATTTTACCTGAGTTCTACATGAGATTTACAAGGTCAGCATTGCTGAGAATGAACTGCAACCTAAAGATCGCTCACACTGTTCAGTGCTGAGGTAGGATAAACCAGGGATAAGGAGATTAATGCTCCAGGACAAAAAAGGGGAAAATATTTCATCGGTTCCCAAAGAATGCAATTTAATTGCAAACAAACTGCTATCAAAGGACAAGTTTTGCAGCAGTTTTTTTGAAATTATTTGCCCCAAGGATTTTTCAGGCCTTTTCATCACGGACTGTATGGAAAGAATTTGCACAAGATGTGGTGTTTCACTAAATACAAGAGAGAAAAACTCCCTCAACAATCAGGACTAGGTGATTTTGAAACTTTCCTGGTTTTTGGTGGGCTGCAAAATGGTGGTGGTGTTGTTGGTAGACTGAGCTTAGGGAGGTCTAAGAGTTGCTCAACACATTCTTTTCTTGTCCATAAAATATGCCTGAACTGTTCCAGAACAACATAATACATAAAGCAGCCAATAAGCAAAGACAACAGGTGATTTTTTAAATTTATTTCACTGCTGAACGAAAGAAAACATAAGAGAACTGCTGTCTTTAATATTATCATTAAGGGAAATAAAAAGGAAATATTACAGTACAAACACTAATACTAAATTATAACTATTTTGGGAATGAAACCCCCTCTGCACAGAACATCGTTTTTAAAGCAGTGTTTCCACTTGCAACGAAGGATTTTGCTGCTTCTGAAGACTTTTCTTCCCTTCTGGGGATCTCAGTTGATTAAATACAACAGACCCCATTACAAAAGAGCTCACTTGCTCAGAAGTTTAACGAGAGCTGAAACAGTTGCAACTGCAGCTTGTGACTCAGAGCGTGGCCCCTCCCAGCGCAGGACAAACCATGTGCCGGTTACAGCCCAACTTCCTCCCCTCAGCTCCTCCTTCCTCTCCCGGGTGAGTCTACACTTGTTTATTATCACTGTTGGGCAGATAAAATAAACTTCAAACCCCTGAAAGCTATAATGGGAAATTACTTTTTTTTTTTTTTAAGAGTAACTGTTTCACAGCTCCTGCAGTTTAAACCAAAACAACTTCAGTACAGTAAGAAAGCTCAAGGCTTTATGTGAAGTTGTCCTGTTAAACTCAAAGGTTGGCCTGCCCATTACTAATTCTAAGGAAAGCGTGGTCAGCACCAACTATTTAATTCTCTGTGTACAAGTCTTCTCTAGCATCACACACACAAAAACCCCCCCATGAGCTCATAAAACCTAATTTCTTAGTAATACCCAGCTTCTGGTGATGCAGAGGGTTCTCAGTGTGAGATGTTGAATCCGAGTCAGCTGGCACAGCATCACCCTGGCACTTGGAACCTACACAGCAGGAACAGGAGGCACAAATGTTCACATTTATCGCTAAATGTACAGCACAAAGAGGACTTCAAGAACTTCTTAAAAGCTACTGCCTCTGTTTATATTAAATAAGAGGGATAATATGTGCTAGAGGATGTTACTTTAAGCATTAAAAAACCCCACCCAACTCACTATGACTTTAATCCTGTTCTGGATCACAGGGAAATGCTGAAATCAGTCAAGAGCAGCACTGAGGGCACAAGACACTCATTTTCAACTCCAATCCCCAGGGGTTATCTTGGCTCCAGCAGAGTCAGGGGAGCTCCCAGTTGGAGAAATCCCTGAGAAATTCTGGCCTGGCACACACTGCTGCAGCTGAAAACTTCAGAGGTTTGTAATTTGTGACATCTCCCTGCAAGTCCCTACTGAGAACATGTAAATGACAGTTCTTCAAACGTTCACAATCCAGTCAGGGTGGGTGGACTTTCCACGGGTGAACAAAGTGTTCTTATGAGATTTACAAGCGTAGAGCATGCGGGTGAAACACAATTCTGAGAGAAAGGGATGTCGGATCCCCTTTCACCCAAAGGACGGCCACATAATTTGGGGTTTTTTTTTGCAAACAAGGTTTATAAAAACTGTTGCTTAAATTCGCTCAAAACTTCCCCTCAAGAAGATCAGCATAATGCTGGTGGAAAATTTTAGTCAGAGCAGTCAGTGTGAGCAAAGTCACAAGAGAACACAGCAGCTGTCTGTGTTCAGGCAATACACACATAAAGTGGTACTAGATTTACCTGTAGTACGTATTTACCACTCGTGATTTAATATCAAAAGTACGTATTTACTACCCCGATTTAATATTCCTGTACAGAAATACACTAAAAAAATCTATTTATTAATATAAATTTATCTGAGGATAAAAAGATTAATTACAATTTAACCGAAAGATCTTCAGTGTATTCACAAAAAGTCATGAGACTGTGTAATTCATCACAGTCTCTTCTTAGATGTACAGCCCACCCATATTTCCACTGTGAGTCCAAGTGCAAAAAAACTTGAGCTTTAAAGCAAGTGCTATTTAATTATTAAGATGTGCTTACTCAGCACATAATGACATTCCACAATATTTCCTGTCTCCTAATAACTCCTTTAAATTACGTTCTTGTGCCGTTCCTTTGCATGAGCTGCATCCAATCTGGATATAATGTCAGCATGGACTTTAGGAAGGATTACAGTAAAGTTCTCTCTGACAGCTGTGACCACGTAAAACATCTTCCACGGCTTTCTGCAAAGGCACAGCACAGCACTGAGGGTTCCTCCACCAGGCTATGAAATGTACTCCATCCTGATGAATAAACCAGCCCAACAGTGCTCAGACTAGCAAAGCTTTGTCTACAAAATCACAGGATGGGTCAGGTTGGAAAGGACCTCAGAGGGTAATCTGGTCCAACTTCCCTGCTGAAGCAGGGTCATCCCAGAACACCCAGCACAGGACTGTGTCCAGACAGTTCTGGAATATCTCCACTGAGGGGGATTCCACAGCTTCTCTGGTCTCTGTTCTAGTGAAGTTCTTCCTCGCGTTTAGGTGGAAATTTTGTGCATCAGTTCCTGCCCGTTGCCTCTTGTCCCATTGCTGGGCACCCCTGAGCAGAGCCTGGTCCATCCTCTGCCCCCTCCCTGCAGACACTTATCCCTATTAACGAGCTTTAGTACCCGCCTGTACATACACTCCGCAGGCACCTCGCTGGGGGAGGATGAAATGTGCTCTCCCTTCCGGATACATCGGGGAGCATCCATGTCACCGAGGCACAGCCTCTCCCCATGTTTCAGAGTTCGGATCGGAGCCGGGTCGGAGGGGTAAGCAGCGGGACCTTCAGTCCCCCACAACCCCTCACACTCCTCGGGCAGGCGATCACTTGCACCCCTCAGGCGGCCGCTTCTTCGCGCCACCGCTCCCTGGTGTCCATCGGCGGTCCCTGCTGTCCCTCACACCACCTGGTGTCCCTCACACACACCACAGGTCCCTCATATCCCTCACACCGCCGCTCCCTGGTGTCCCTCACAACCGCCACCGATCCCACACACCGCCGGCCCCCGGTGTCCCTGACAGCACCACGGGTCCCTGGTGTCCCTCACAGACACCACCGATCCCACACACCGCCGGCCCCTGGTGTCCCTCACAGCACCACGGGTCCCTGGTGTCCCTCACAGACACCACCGATCCCACACACCGCCGGCCCCTGATGTCCCTGACACCGCCGGCCCCTGGTGTCCCCGACAGCACCACGGGTCCCTGGTGTCCCTCACAGACACCACCGACCCCACACATCGCCAGCCCCTGGTGTCCCTCACATCACCTGGTGCCTCTCACAACCACCGGTCCCTGCTGTTCCTCACACACACACCACAGGTCCCCGATATCCCTCACACCACCGCCCGTCACTCCCCTCAGGCGGCTGAGCCCTCCCGCCCGTGCCGGCGGGTAACGCGCTCCCGAGGCGCCCCCGCTGAGGGAGCGCCGAGACCGCGCGTCCCTTCCCAGCCTTCTCCCCGCTCCCGATCCGCCCCTACCCTTTCTCCTCCCCTCCCTCTCTCCCTCCCCCCCGGCTCATGCGCCCTCCGCCCCAGGCGGGGCGGGCGATGTGGCGGCGGCCGCGGGGGCACCGCCCGCCCGCTCCGAGCGCCTGCGCCGAGCCCCGGGCGAAGGAGGGGGGAAGAGTTTCGTAACCGGCGCATGCGCGCGGGAGCCGCATCCCCGCTCGGCGGAGGAGGAGGAAGGAGGGGGGGGAAGATGTATGGAAAAAACAGAAAAAAAAAAAACCACCTCAGAGTTACGTCAGGAAAAGACGGATTTGTGAGCCGGGGAGACCCGCGCCGCGCGGGCAGCCCCCCGGGACGGGCGCGACACGCGGGGCCGCTACTCACCCTGTCCGCCTCCCCTCCCCGCTCGCCCCCCTCCGGGGCGCCTCCTCTCAGGGCTCGGCCCGCGCTGCCGCCGCCGCCGCCGTGATTCCATCCATCTTGAATTTGACGTCATCCCACAACCGAGGGATGAGGTCATCGCGGGGAGCGCTCGTCACGTGCGCGGCGCCGCGATTGGCCGGGCCCGGGTGGGGGGGGAGCGGGGGGCGAGGGGGCGGCGCGGCGGGGGGGGGGCGATGTGAGGGGACGGGGATGGGGAGCGGGGTCGGGATGGGGGTGCGGATCCCCCCCCGCCCGCCCTGCTTACACCGCGGGCGGAACGCGCCCCGGCCGCCTCCCTCAGCCCGTCCCGCGGGAGGGAAACTGAGGCAGCAGCCGCGGGACGGGGGGCGAAGGGGGGTGCGATCCGGACAAAGGGCAGGTCCCTGCCGTGTGTCCCGTGTGTCCCCCGCCGGTGACAGTGGCACTGGGATTCGGGAGGTGCCGCTGTGGTAAAACCCGCACCCCTTCCCGAGCCTGGGCACCGCGTGGGGGGGAACCAGCGGGCAGCGTCAGTTTGAAATTCACCTGATTTAATCGTCTGGTGGTTGGGGTTTGTTTGTTTGTTTGTTTGTTTGTTTGTTTTTTTCTGGTGGGTTTTTAGTACTAACTTTGATCTTACGGGATTTTTTTTTAAAGTGTAAGGGGAAGATCCAGCGTGCTTTGGAAAGAAGCCCCACGTCTAAGTGGCACATGTGGCATCCTCATGAGCCACCCCCTCCCACCCCTTTCCCCTTGAAAGTCACCCACCGACCTCCTCAAGCCGCTCACAGACCCCTTCACCAGCCAGTCCCCTGTCCCCCTCACAAGACGCCGATCAAACCCTTCCCGAGCCACCCATCGAATCTTTCATAAGCCACCCACTGTCCCTCTCACAAGTTGCCCCCCCTGTCCCCCTCACAAGTCACCCAGTGTCCCCCTCACAAGCTGCCCATTGAGCCCCTCACAAGCCACCCCCGACCCCCTTGCAAGTCACCCAATGTCCCCTTCACAAGTAAATGACTGTTCCCCTCCCAAGCCACCCACCATCCCCCTCCCAAGTCACCCACCGTCCCCCTTGCAAACCAGCCCACCATCCTTTACAAGCCACCCATTGAACCCCTCCCAAGCCACCCACCATCCCACTCACAAGCCACCTATCATCCCTGTCACAAGCCACTCACTGTCCCCCTTGCAAACCAGCTACTGTCCCCCTCACAAGTCACCCACCATCCTTCACAAGCCAGCCCCCTGTCCCCAACATTCCCCTTACAAACAGCCCCCCATCCCCTCACAAGACACCCACTGTCCCCCTCATAAGCCAGCCCACCCCCCTCCATTATCATCTGGGAGGCACCTGCCCAGATCCTGATGGGTTTTAGCTCAGACCCTCTGTAACTGCTGTACTCACTCATCTCGATGCGATTTGAAAAATTATAATGGCCATTATCATTGCTTTAGGCTGGCTTCTCGTTGTAATTATCTGCTTTGAATTAAGTACCTGAATAGGGCTTTGTGTGTCAAAATACTACTATTAAAATAGAAATTAGAATTACAAGATTTCTCTTGTTTTTGTTGAAAGCTAATCTGGCACGTTATCTTTTCATTAAGGGCAGCTCTAGAGATTAGCATCTAATCCCACTGTGGTGTTTTCAATGTGCTTTTAGACATCCCACCTAAGTCACAAATACTCTAGAGCAGCTACTAGAATCCCTGCAATGTGTTTAATGATGTGTTTAAACCTTTTTTGGCGATGATTTTTTGCAAATGGGCTAAACCCTGAGTAAGAAAAATGGCGATGTACCTGACTGGGTCCAGCTCCTTTTTCCCCTCTCCATCTAATTTTTTTTTTTTTTTTTTTTGTCATTGCAGTCTCTTTTGGTGGTTTTGGAAGCTTGGGAAGCTTCCTGTGAAAGGAGTGGTTTTTTTCACCCATGGTCTTGTGCCCTGACGTGAGTGTGGCTGTGCGATGAGCCAGAAGGAAAACTGAGCAGGCTGCTTGGTGTCATCTGGAAAAATTCCCTACTCTGGTTTGCCAGACAACGAGTGTGTAGACAACTGCTCTGGCACAAGGGCCTGCTGTGGTGATGGGAACAAACAACTGGGAAAGCAGTTGCATCTGTTCCCATAAACCAGTTTGTGCAGTGACACTGGCTGTGCTGCCAGGGAAGGATTTGGGAAACCAACCTAAGCTTGGAAATCTAGCAGAGCCCTGTTAGCTTTTTTTTTTTTTTTAATGTGTACTCAGTTATTTCTCAGCCAAGCAGAAACAAACTGATCTTGCATAATTTCTCATCCGTGCTTCTCCAAAAGGGCCTGTGGCACAGATGGAGGATCTCCGTGCTGGAATTACCCCGCCAAAACAAATTGTGTTCTTTAAGGTGTGTACACACACACGTGTGTAAGTTTGTCTTGCTGTGCAGGTATTTATCAGTATTTTTAATTTGTCAGGTTCTCTAGTGAAAGTGCAGCCACTAGAACAGAGCCCATGTAGTGGCTCATATAATTCTGTTGGAGCAAGTCCAGAGGAGGCCACGAGGTTGATAAGAGGACTGGAGTACCTCCCCTATGAACACAGGCTGAGAAAGCTGGGGCTGTTCAGCCTGGAAAAGAGAAGGTTGTGTGGAGACCTCAGAGCAACCTTCCAGTTTCTGAAGGGGCTACAGGGAAGCAGGAGAGGGACTGTTCATCAGGAACTGTAGTGACAGGACAAGGGGGAATGGGTACAAACTGAAAGAGGGAAAATTTAGGCTAGATATTAGGAAGAAATTCTTTGCTGTGAGGGTGATGAGATACTAGAACAGGTCGTCCAGGGAGGTTGTGGATGCCCCAACGCTGGAAGTGTTCAAGGCCAGATTGGATAAGGCCTTGAGTAAAATGGTCTAGTGGAAGGTGTTCCTACCCATGGCAGGGGAGCTGGGACTGGATGATCTTTAAGGTCCCTTCCAACCCAAACCATTCTCTGATTCTCTGATTTTCTGTAGTTCTTACCTTAAACAGATGATTTGAGAAAATTTTGAATGTAGTTCTCCAAGATTTTGTGATTCAAAAGGGCATAAGACTCAATCTGACTGCATTTCATGATCAAGTCTGATTGACTTGTTATTAAAGTTTATGGATGCCTTATTTCCCTGTAGATCATATTTTTCTTGATTCTAATGAAATCTGGTCAAAGAATCCAGTTCTGTAGAAATATTTGGGGTTTAAGTTGTCTCTAAGTAGGTTAGATTTGTCAAAGGTACCACTCACAGTTTTTTGAATACATTATTGTTCTTCAAGAATAGCTTGTTTATGAACAATTTTTCCAACATTTCTAATTTTAGGTGCTTTGATGGAGGGCTTAGTTTGATGCATTTTTCATCCATATGTGTGTGGTTGCAGCTGTTATTACCAGATGCATGTTTGTTCAGTGTAAGGTTTGTTTTCCATTCCGAGTATCCAGTAACTACTCAGATTAACTTTTGATCATACTTGCCAACAAGCTTAATCACTGGAATTTTGTTAAAAACTGAGTCCCTGCAAAGAATAGAATGCAAAGCAAACTATTAAAAAAAAAAGTGTGATTATACATGGACTTTGTGAGAAATTTGCATGTAAAAACTAAAACACTTGCATTGGTTATGCATGTAAGTATGAGAATTATTATCTTCTGTAGTGTAAATATTGCCCCAAAGGGCAAAGTTTTGTACTCTGAATAGTTCAGCTTTTTTAATGGTAACATTTGTTTCACTTTCAATATGAAAATAGCTGGAATAAAATCATATCCTGTCGTTTTTTAAATCTGTAGTTTCAGCCCTTTTTTGATGTAGAGACCCTACATTTTTTTTCAGTGAAGGCTTGGACCTTGTGTGATTAATTTAAATCTAATGACATCAGGTTATTTTCTTTTAGAGAGCCTTAGAAGTATCTCAGATGCCCTTAGGCAGTCCTATATTAGCAGCTGAGAAAGAGTTTTGCAAAGAAGAGCTTGGTTTTGGGGAAGGGGAGACACTAAAGAAAGAAGAACACACCTCTGAAGTTGCTTCATTGCAGTGGGGGAACATTGACAGAGATGTTAAAACTATGATCTTGGTACATTTTATTCAAGTTTTATGTCCATATGGAGAGGTCTGTTCTGTACTTTGGTAGCTTTAAGACAATTTCCTGCTGCAGGATCCTTCCTCCTAGGCAGTGTGGCTTTTCCAGCTCCAAAGTTCTCCCGTAGCTGCTGTAAAAGCAGGAACACACCACCCCAGAGAGAGGGTTATGCCTTCCTTGTTTCCTACCAGAACCTCTGGAACTATTATTGCCAAGGACATATTGCAGAGGGAGATAATTAATCTCTCAGAAACTGCCTCCTCGCTCAGCTGGCCCTGAAAAATCTTATCAGTGGAGCAAATGCTAATGCTGAGGAGGACATTGTGGCTGTGATCCTGTTCCTTCAGATACCAGCTTCTACTCCAGAACTTCTGGGATGTGGAGCACTGGAATCATAGAGGACACTTGAATGAACCCATTCCTTTCAGCCACTGTTGACTGCAGCAGATGTTTCTGGGAACTCCAGAGCTCTAAGCTTTACTGATTCAAAATATTCTGCCAAAACTTAACAACTTGCCAGAATACAAACACAGAATTTTCTACCAGCTCCTCACCGCTGACAGCTGTGCATGGAAAAGGGTGCCTGGATTTTTATGTTTGTTTGGTTTTTTTTTTTCTTTTTTTTTTCTATTTCTAATATATTCATATGACACCTCCCATAACAAATTCTAGCGGGTAAAAAGGAATTTTACTTTTTCTAGTTTAAAAGTCTCACTTGTCACAAAAGTATGGGCACTTCTCAGTATTTTTTTAATACCAGGCAGTGAGCTAAACATTGAGAATACCACAAAAGTAACAGTGTTTCCATTACTGATGTGGTGCAAGGTAGACAGACAA